TAGGTTTTATTTGGTACCAAACAAAATTCATGCTCATCTTTGATTTATAGTTTTAGTTATTTACATGGTTGAATTCGTAGTGAAAAATGGAGCAAGTTTCATGTTTACATTTGTGAAAATGGTTCAGAAATGAGCAAGTTTAGAAATTTAAAAATGTAACAATGGAGATGCTGGCGCGAGGTTAGGGATGAAGTACTATCAGAAAAGAGTTTATTTTATATTGTGTTGAAGTTGTATTATTCATGGATGAAACAACCATCCTAGTGCCAGGAGAAGTGCACGTAAAACATTGATCTATAGGGACCCGGGTTCGAGCCCTAGTGGTACCCTTTTGTTTTTTTTACATTTTTCTTATTTCAGGTTCCATGCATACAAGCCATGCGCGTGTATCAAGTGCCCTCATCTTATCACCATTTGATCATTGCATAACTGAATCCAATGCACCACATGAGTAGGTCCATGGTACATCATAATAAGCCAGCAACATTAGATTAAAACAGGCACTGGGCTCAGAACTTGGGCCTCATTATTTTTTTTTTGCTAATTCTTACCACCCCTTTTACTAATCAAACAAAAAACATGTTTGGGCCTTTTACTACTTTTAAACCCCATTCTAATTTTCAAAACCCCAGCTCATTTTTTTTATTTTCTTTATATTTTCTTATTTTTATTTCTTTATTTATTTTTATTTAACCAAAAATACCAAAAATATATATTTCCTTAAATATTTAAATAATTAAAAATATTTTAATTTAAATAGTTTATTTTATTTTGTAATTAAATTAAATTCTATTAGTTCTTTTAATTAATAAAAAATATTTTCTTAACATTAACATTCAAACTATTTTCTAAACAAAATTACTTAGACTTAGGTTCTATTTTCTTCTTAAATTCAATTGACTTAGATTTTTGGTTTTGTTAACTTTTCTTGTAATTAAATTTAATTAATTTAATTAGGTTAATTACTAAAATATTTTTCTATCAAAAACCCTAAAAAACAATTTCTTTCTTCTTCTTTATATTTTGTATATTCTATTATTATTCATGTTCAATAGTTTGTAATAGATAATTAGGGTTTTATTTTTTTCTCCCCTATTCACAAACTTTTACCCCCATTCCCAAAGTGTTGTAGTAGTGAAGGACATTTAAATTCCGCAATTTATCGCTTTCCTTATTATTTCTAATAATTAGGGTTTGCATGGCAAGATTAAAATCAACGTTATACAACCCTAAATTGAAGATAAAATAATTGAATCAAACACACTTTGCACACTTGCATCTCTAGGGTAACCCATACTTGTTGCCTCGAATAAAAAAAGTCATATCCCTCGAACGTTGAATGCTTTAGCAAAAGACCCTCGATTAAAAGATCATAGTCCCTCGATGACCCTTCAATGTTGCCTTCGGTAAACGATCTTAGTCGCTTACAACAAATTGCTAAAGGATCTTACAAGTTGCCTTATGTGAATATACAATGACCCACGCTTGTCCCTCATATCCAATGATATGGCTTTTTACCAATAAATGGTAAAATATCACTATCTAAAGGAGGAGGAAAAGAACAAAGACTTTTTGAGTAGGTAGATTGCTCGTAATTGCTTGCTCATAAACTAAAACAATATTTACACCTCACACTTTCCAAATACTTTTCAAAACAAACATTTTGTATACATTCTCAAAGATACGAGAATCATTACAAAATTTCCTTACATTGGCATTTTTCAACACATCTTTCCAAACACTATTTTTCAACAAATATTTTCAAAACCAACACTTTGTATACATTCTCAACAATACGAGAATCATTACCAAATTTTTCGTACGAAGGAGTTTTCAAAATATTTTTAAACATACACAAACACAAACACAAAAGAACTTCAAAGTGAGCTAGCAATTAAGAGCCCATAGATAACTACAGATGAAAAAGATGCTAACACCTTCCCTTATCATAACCTATCCCCCGAACTCAAGAAAATTCTCAAAAGGGCTTTCCTGTTCTTTTCACTCTTTCCTTTATTGGATAAAAAAAGTCGATGGCGACTCTTACTATCTATAATATTTGCGATAAAACGTAAAACCTCCAAGTCAGTTCTCCCACCATATTACAGGGACCTTGAATCTTTACATGTTGTAAGATGAACTTGATGTGAACTGCCCTAACGTTTGAGTCTCGAAGATTTCCCCTGGTTATTAAGGCCTTAAGAAGTGGCCGAAAGAGGGAACTGAGTCCTACCATTTTGTGATATGAACTTGATTTAAGAAATGCCTTTTGGAAAGGTATACCCCTGATTGAACTGTACTTTTGAAATGTGACTTAATTTAATTGAATCTCAGAATAATCACCCCTAGTTAAACAAGATCTTTTTGTGATATGCCCCTACGATCATTAGTATTGCTTATGATTATAAGATTCTTCTTTATATGATTTGCCCCTAGTTATGAGCTTCTTTGAAATGACCGCTTTTAATTAAACCAATTTTTGAGATCTCCTTGATGCTAAGTATTGATTCGTATATAAAAGTGTATGATTTGAGAAGTAGTTCTTAGTAATGCACATGCAAGTTTTAAAATCGATGTTTGAATAGAAATGGATTATTAGAGATGGAGATTCGAAGAGGCGAAGTGGTTAGCAATAATTTTAACAAACATAGGAGTTAGTTTAACACAAATTTTTCCGAGTATACTTTCATAGTTAACCATGCTTTAATTAGGACTTTTGAAGGTTGTAACATGGTCATGGTTTGTGGTTTAAGAAAAAAAGGATATAAGGCTTAAAATATATTTAGCCCACCCCATTCTCTTTGATGTTCTCCAATCCTAAATCCAATTAATACAACATAAGCGTTCAATCTCCAAGAGAAATTTCGTAGTCGCGTAGATGATGAGAAGTGTAGATAAAGTTTAAGCATTAATGAGAAGCCTTGATAATTCTATAGGTGGCCATCATAAGATTGTTCTCCAATTTTGTTTCAAATCCCTTATTTTTGTATGAGCCAATTCTTTTGCATCTGGTCCATCGGGATTCCCTAACTTTTTCCTAATTCAAATTTTTTTATTGTTACTTGACTTAGCGGGCTTTGTTTTTTTTTTTGAATTTTTTTTTGCTTTTGATTTTGAAAATTTGGGAGTGCCTATGCTGATATTGTAAGCTTCATCTTTATCGTTTCCTCGTTCTTGAAGGATATTTTGAGGAAAAAATATCGTGAACTTTGTCTTTATTGATTGCTTCCTCAATCTTTGTTGATGTGTGAGGAAAAGGATGTACTTAAACCTTTACTTAGACCGTTTTCTCAATGATGTATTGAGGAAAGAAATAAGCTTGAACCTTTGCTTAGATCATTTTGATTCTCCTAGAATTTGAGTGCATCGTCGAATTAATTGAAATCTCCATGCCCCTAGTTAAAATTAAGATTTTTTAATTTTAGAAAATAGAACAAAACTCCAACTCCCGACTCGAGGGGTTTGACTACAGATTAACTCCTTATTTTTCCAGTTTTTAGGAATTGAAACAATACCTTACATCATTAGCTCGGTCTTACCATTAAAAACATATAGCAAAATTCAGTTATTTAGTTTTCATCATTCTCCCTCAAAGTTTGTTAAAGGTTGAAAAATGAAAAATGAAAAAGAAGAGTGAAAATAGAAATACGTTGATTATTTATGGAAAGTGATAGTAAATGAAGAGTAAAACAAATGAATTAATTTCAAACAGGCATGCTCATTTTATTAGAATTATTGATCCAAAGATACAAGTTTACATCTAATACAACTTAGCAACTTGAAAATTATATTTTGAAATTGATAACGTCTAATGATCATATCGAAGAGCTTCTTAGTTTGATCCATTTGACTTTAGGAGATGTTTATTGATTCTTGGACTTGTCAAAGCATGAGGATGACCCTTAACTTTTCTTGGGCATACATATTTCGTGAGGACATTGCTCTTGTTGATCCCATTATTTTTGAATCACCAATGATAGTTGCATCTGAGATGTTGTGTAGGTCTGTATAATGAAGGACTATCTTCTCTCTTTAATTGGACTTGTAGAACCAAACTCATTTGAATATTTAATGGTTAATTTCCTCCTTTCACAATTTAGGACTTTCTCGAATTTCTTTATTAGTCTAAAAAAAAATCATTATGAAGAAAAAAAAGTGAAGAAAAAATTATACCTTTTTGTGAAGGAAGAAGACGAAGCTAGTGGATCTATATAAATGTCTTAACCTCCGAGGTCAAATTGGATCGACGCATATTTCAAAGTAAAAATACAAGATTTCTCACAATTACTACGTGAGCAAATTCTCTTTCTACCATTAGTGTAATTTTTAACAAGTACACACCTAATACAGTTATCTTCTATAGAGACAACGAAAATTGAAAATGTTTTAAATAAATGAAATGTACAAAAATATATAAAAATTTTGTGATCATTGAAGGTAGAAAAAATAGTGTCAATACTCATTACAACACACACATAGCAAGTCTCAATACACACGGAATGTTACTTTTGCATTCTAAAATACAAAAACATCATTTTTCTATCTACAAGGCATTTCTTGGAGTAAAATATGCATGGTCCCTCCCTAGAGATAAGTCCTATAACACACATGACTTTGTTTTTTCAGTAACATAAAACAAACAAGTAGAAAAGTAAGAGACAACTATTAAATATTTCTAAAATTATTCTATTATAAGAGACAACTTTATAGGTATTTCTCTAGCAAAATTAAATTTAAATTCCAAGTCAGAATAAATCAATACATAGAAACCATATTTTCTTGTAAAGCCTATATATATTTTTCTCTATTTCCATTTTAGTATTGTCTTCTCTTCTATTACGGTTTCTCTTCTTTCCCAATAAACACATAATTGTTCTTTCATTATTTTAAGGCATTTTATCAAATAATGGTTGAAAAAGAATTGTCTATATAACAAACACTCTCACAATGGTTTATACCAAGAGTTGAAGTAGTGATTTTGATAACAATATAGTAAGAAAATGGAAAGAAAAAGTAACCAAAATGATTCTTCTTCCTCATTTGTTTCTGAGCTCTTTGGCACCAAAGAAACACACTCATTTTCTTCTCAATTTCCTAATGGAGTGAGGGATAAAACTATCAAGGAGAGATGGGACTCTATACTTGGAACACCTGGTAATATATATATCATAATTCAACATTTTTCTAATGATTTAAAAAACTTTGAATTTTTGTTGCATATAAATTAAATATTTTAAGATAAAATTTTGACAAAAAGTGACCTAATTAATAACTACATCATATATTTTTTTCTCTCTCACTTTTCACATGAATATAGATGTTATTTTCAAGGCCTGTGGTGGTGGATCTCAGAAAATACAAAGTGCAGATAAGAGCTCCATCTACCAAGATCAAAGAATTGAACCATGTAATCTCAGCTCATCAATATTTTATGGTGGCCAAGATATTATTCATCATGCTCAAATTGAAGGGAAAAACTTATTTGTAAGTGGTAATATATTTATTTTTTTCAATTTTTAAATATAATATTTTTTTTATATTTTCCTTATATCAATTAATTAAATTAAGAGTCAACTATTAGGTTTTTTTTTTTTTAAATTTATCAAATATATTATTTTCTAGTGTTGAGAATACCTAACATAAACTTTCTGCCTAACAGCCCAAAAATGTCGGAGAAGATGATTTGGGAATTGCTTCAAGAGGAGATTGGTGGAAAGGTATCTTGTGAATGACTTATACATTTCTCATAGACTTTTTGTATAAAAGTTGCACATGGTTTGTACTATATAATATGACATAATATTAACATTCTCATTTTTTATATTGAATTTTCATCCACAGGGAGTCTCTATTATTAAAAGCATAGTTATCAGCACTATATGCTTTACAAGGTATATATTTATTGTATTTTAGTAGAGAATAGTAAGAAGAGTTTTTATGAAAATCTACATATAAATTTAGTCTAGGAAAAGAATAAGAAATGAGGACTTTCATATTGCCACATTTTCGTATACAAGATGAAATTAATAATTTCAAAAATTAAAAGTAAACTACTAAGAAGCATGAGTTGATGAACTTGAATTGTAAATGTAGTTATGTATACTTCTTAACATTTTACATATAATTCTAGTTACTTATTTTTTTTTTTTTGCTAAGTTTAAATTTAAATTTTAGTGACGTATATTCATCACTTGATTTAATATTATAGGTACATAGAGCAAAAATCAAGTTACGTGGAAGCTAAACAGCGAAGGGATAAAATATGATTTTGCAATTAATCATTTGTGGAACTATGTATTGTCATCTATCTTGAATAATGTTATTTTTTGATTTATATGATTGTTAGAACTTGGAACAAATTTAATGAAACCGAAGTAATTAAGTGTGGAAAGAAAGAGACTGAAAGAGAGAATTAGAGATATTATAATTGAGAGATCATTAATATTGATTGAGATATTCCTTGGATATTTATATAAATTATAATTGTTTGGGATACAAGAAACAACGAATTAAAATAACAGAAAATTAAAATTGTTTGCTTGTAATTGGTTACACCAAACCAAGCCTATAACCTATTACAATTGTTTCTACGATTAAAATCAACTTTGTGGTAACCGGTTACCAAAATTCAGTAACCGGTTACACCTATTTCAACATCCAAATATACTATACCTTATAAATGATTCCTAGAACATATTAACCGGTTACATCACTTGAATGATTGACGTTTTCACAACATACCACCTTAATTCAAGTACTTCAAGTCTCACGTGCTCATCTTTATCTTCAATCTCTTAAACACTTCAATTGCGACTCCTTTGTTCAACAAATCGGCCACTTGATCTTCATTTCTACAATATCTCGATCTCAAACTTTCTTCACTAACAAGTTTTCTCAAGTAGTGAAACTTCAACTCAATATGTTTGCTCCTACCGTGTGCAATTGAGTTCTTAGCAAGATTTATAACAGAAACGTTATCAACCTGTTTACCTTGATTTTTGGTAAATAACCCATATATAGTTTCTTATTAAAGGTTACTTGGAGGATCAACTAGGGAATCCTATGACATAGTGCTAAAATCTTGACAAATTTTAATGTTGAATTATAGTAAATTAAATGCGGTAATCTTCGAACTAAACAAAAAACTGAAGGAAAGACTCAAAGTACAAAAGTAAAAATACTTAAAGGGAAAAGACTTGACAATAAAACTTTATATTAAAATAAAAAATAAATGGATTGGAATTCATCAACCGGAACAAATACATACATTCTCCAAAAATCACTCGTTTCTCACTTTAACAAAGATACTTTGAGTTTATATAGCAATGTAACAAATGCAGACCTCTAAAACTGAAAACAAATGATGCCACGTTTCTAATCCATGCAAATTTCGTTCTACAAGCTTCCACGTGTCCTTGATAAAACTATTTGTCTTGTCCTTGAAAAACAGTTTTCCTTTATCCATTTTAAGTTTGCTTCGACTATGCTTCAAATCAAATAAAACTCAAATTTTACAAAGTCTTTTAGGACTGCATGACCATGGTTTCCCTAGTAAAAATAATTCAACCAAAAACATAGACTTCTTATTTGGCCGTTCGAAGTGGAAATTTGTATTTATTGATCAACAAGGTCGACCGAGCCCTTTTCGACTCACGTAAAAACGACCATAATTCAAATTTTAGGAATATGACCCTTATACCTTGTCTTATAGTTATGTCAAAAATTCCAAGGTAACAAATTGTCCTCCAGAAAATGCCATTTTGGGTTGAGCACTATGTCAACAGAGAAATATGGCGTTTTTATGTTTTGGATAATTTGTTAGACGATGTGATCGATCTAGAAGGGGGATCGAATAGATCGTTTAAAAATTTATTTGCGCTTTTTAAAAAAAAAAATTCAAAAATATATGCGAAAGCTCCCAGAATCTCCAATCGTCTAAATGATCCTATATTGAAAAGATCAGATATGCGTAACCGTATGAGATAGGATGACAAAGTAAGAATAAATACGTTTTACTCAATTGGTCAGTCACTTAAACTCCTCAATGAGTATGAATTACTTCCAATGAGTTGATTAAGATAAACCTAAATACAATAAATAATTTGTGGATGAATCAATTTGTCAAACACCTTATGTGCAAAGCACCTTAGGTTTGATTTTACTAAATTGTAACAGTGATTTTTCTTAGGTATCAATCAAAAGGATTGTTACCAATGTTGTAAAATGATCTCATTACACCACAATTTCAGTACAAACAAATTCGACAATTTAATTCCCACAAATTATAGTAGTTAAGTATAGAAGTAAAGAAAAAGAAGAAGAACACACGATTTGTTAAAGCAGTTCCCCTTGTCGTCCTCGCGTAGGGTACGTCTGCCCCCAATTCTAGAATCTAGAATTGATATATTTGATAGTAAGATGCAAATATTACAAGAGAAGAGATAGTTCATAATACAAATAAGCCAATGTTTCTGATGTAACAGTCTTCTTCCCTTTCCTTGGTTTGAGCCAAACCAAGGGCCAAATTCTTCGAATAAACCTCCGGTTACCGCTACTTGATTTGCACGAACTCTTATTCTGCAATAGTTTCACTCGGCTGATTTTGATCGTAAGAAATTTGACCCCAAATCTTCCTTCATAATCCTCTGGTTACCTCTACTTGATTAAGAAAACCCACCATTTCTTATTCCTTTCACTCGTCTGAATTCGATGAAGCAAAGACTTGTGCAAAAAACCCCCGCACCAATTGGAATCTTGGAGGAGAAAATCCAAACGATTTTATTCAAGAACATCCCACAATTGCTCAACCCAAATCTGAATTGAATCTTTGATTCGAACGTTATAACCTCAACACTTTTCTTGAATCAACAACCATGATTATGTATAGATGTTGATTTTTGAGAAGAGAGGATGAAGATGATGAGCACTATGTGTATCTTTCACTAGTTCTTGTTGACTACTCAAAAGGAATCAAAACTCTATTTATATGTGTTAGTAAAACAAATAATATTTGAGAAAGAAACAAAATAAGACAAACATAATTTTGAGTATGTTAAGTGAGTGGTCGACCGCTCCAGAGGCTTGGGTCGATGCAAAACAAACTGCATCTAAGAGATGAGCTAAACAGCTTGAATGTATCGACTGCACTAGGGGGTTGTGTCGATGCAGCCTTCAATTTTATTGACCATCAGGTGGAGTCGACCAAGGGGTCGGCGCAACACAACTCGGGAGAAGCACAAAGCTTTGAGTCGACCAGAGCTAGTTTATGTCGACGCAGGCTTCATTTTCTTGCCAAAAAGGTTATTTTCATCCAAGCTTGCATCCCATACTTTGTCCCAAGTATATTTTATGTAGCACACGTGTCATTGAGGATTGGAGAGGTTTTGACATCATGAAAACATGAATCTTGCCCTCACATACTCCCCTTTTTTTATGATGACAAAACCTACACAATACTGTCAAATTAAAAATACAGCAAATGACATAAGAAGAAGGAACTACCCCTGAGTTTGTGCACATCTTCAGAACTCAGAAATTGTAAGTCTATCTCACTCTCATAGAACTTCTCTCCCTTTGACAACATCAAAAAGATAAAAGCATTTGATTAATAGTATCAATTAAAAGTAGAGTAGAGATCATAAATTTCACCTTAACGCACTAAAGACCATTCACATAAAATGAAAAATAGTGCAAATGAGATAGTTAAACAATCATCACAAAGTATTATATATACCAAATAAAAAATAAACTTAAACAAACACAAATTAGGTTTAAGGAAAGCAAATAAAGTTAGGCAAAACATGAAAAAAATTGTCTAGCATCCTCAGAAAGTATGGTGGCGTTATCCTCATTGGTCATGGTTATTTGTATAGGACCATCCTCGATAACTTTCCATATCTTTCTATTAACAGAGTTAATATGCATACACATAGAATCTTTCCAATAGCTATAGTTTTCATCAGTGAGAATATGAGCTCTCTTATAAGCCCCTTTTGGATCGTTCTCCATATTCTACAAAGTAATATGTAAAGCACTAGATAAATCGGTGCTCTGATACCACTTATTAGACGATGTGATCGATCTAGAAGGGGGATTGAATAAATCGTTTAAAAAATCATTTGCGCTTTTTAAAATTGTTTTTCATAAATATATGTGAAAGCTCCCAAAATCTCCAATCGTCTAAACGATCCTCTATTAAAAAGATCAGATATGCGTAACCGTATGGGATAGGATGACAAAGTAAGAATCAATAGATTTTACTCAATTAGTTACTCACTTAAACATATTTGATGAGTATGAATTACTTCCAATGAGTTGATTAAGATAAAGCTAAACACAATGAATAATTTATGGATTAATCAATTTGTCAAACACCTTATGTGCAAAGCACTTTAGGTTTGATCCTACTAAATTGTAGCAAGATGAAATTTAAGCTAAAATAAGTCACAAAGAAGGTTCAATTTTCATTGTCTTGGTCTTGGTCTTGGGTTGAATTAATACAAACCACACAGCATACAAATAAAATTCTGAAAATTCGCGAGATGCATCGACCAAACCAGGTCGTGCATTGACGCAATGTTAAAAAATGATATTGAAGAGTTTATATAAGAGTGCATCGACGCAATCTTGTTGTGGGTGGACTCATCCAGCGAGATTTTGAGATTTACTACATTTTTAAAGGAAAGTCATGTAATAGGGGAAGTATCAATAAATCACACATTCATATCAACAATATAATAGATGTAGAGCAAGAAGACAGCCTAAATAAACACACACACACACACACACACACACATATATATATATATATATATATATATATATATATATATATATATATATATATATATATATATAT